AGCTGCACATGCTCAACAGAGACATTTAAGACTAGGGCAATTCAAGTTTCTCAAGATTTTTACTGAACACAAGCCTGTTCCAGCTAAAGCAGCAGGATTGAGAAAGATTTCTTCTGCAACTGCTCTTCCCAACAGTCACGGACAGGGAAAGGGTTTTTCTTGTGCTTTCACTGCTCTGTTCTGTGCTTTTCATGATGAAGTCACCTGCCAGATATGGTGAGAAATGGGAGTAGGTAGGGCACAAACTGTGGCATGAACCAGATGGTAAAAGAGAGGCTACAAAGGAATGTATAGGGAGGAGGCTCAGAAGAAGGGAGGTGGTGGGGGGTTGATCTATTTTGAAGAACACAGTGACTGGAGCAGCAGCAAACAAATAGATGTGTACAGAAGCAAAGAAGTACAGCGTATAGGAGAAGGAAGCAGGGACTGAGGAATGGGTCGGGGGAAAGTAGAGACAGGAGCAAATATAGATAAAGGGGGAAAGGAAGTGAAGGGTGGAACAGGCAAGATAGACAAGAACAGCCTAGAGGAGTGATGCCAACCCACTTGGCCCCAGGCTGGATGAATGGTGCAGAGCTGGTCCAAAGATGGGTGGACCAACCCTGGACAATCAAACACAATGCTTCCAAAGAACCAAGAATTGAATCTGGAAGTCCTGATTCTCCACAGTCCTCTACTATTAGAAACAGTTGAGAAAAATATTGGCCAAGTTGTCTCATTTCCCTATAGGCCTGTCATAGAGAAGACAGGGGCAGGTCCTTGTTATTCCAGTAGCTCAAGTGGTAGAGGTCTCTAAAGTTCTGCATCCTACTGATGACCCAAGTTGTGGGGGAAAGAGAGGGGAAGAAATGCAGAATGGATGCTCAATGGATGGGATGTGTTTTTATATGTGGGTATTAAGACCTTAGGAATTTACATGAAAAAACCTACAAATGTCCCATTTTAGGTATATAATACCTTTAATTATCTGATGACGTGTTATTCTTCTTACAGGATTTTGCCTTATCTAAAAAAAGGGTGGAGAGTGTTCTAGGATGAATCAGAGTGGAGTGGTAAATTAAGCTGCTGTCTTCATTTAATGCAGAATTTGGGAGGCGGGGAAAAGAGTGAGGCAAGGGATAGCAGGAAGAAAAAAAAGTCTCCTAGACTAAGTATAGACAGTGAAAAAGCCTGAGGCTGAATCAATTTGGTCTTTTTAGGTTAGTCTGACCTGCACAGATTGAACTGATAAGCAAGGGAACAAACACTCATTTTTGATTCCAGAAATGCCTTCACATGCCTACAGTGGGTCAGGCCAGAAGCCAGGGGGGGAGGGCTAGAAAATGCCTCCCTGCTCGGCTGCAGCAGACAGCTTGGGCCAAGGCTAGCCCATCCACCTGGGGGGGAAGGGGAGTTTGCAGGGGAGGTACAAAGCATCCTGGGATGCTGGGGGACTGTGAGTTACCCTAAATCTGGAGGGGATCTGGGACAGAAGTTCAATAAATGGATTTAAGCTAAATCAGTTAAGTCTGATACGACATCCATCCAGGTTTATCTTACACTGGTTTTGGCCATTTTGAAAGTGGTTTACGTGTACTGAACTTCTGTTGTGTTATGGATTTGAACCGGCTTCCCATTACTTATACTGGCTTATAATTTCTGTCCCCAGCCCTAGTTAAGGCAACTGAATGGCACTCTGGGGGCTTTGCCTGAATGTCTACCTCTGCCACAGAGTTCTTATGTGATGCTGGGCAAGTCACTGAAATAATGCTCCCGGTTGGTCACTTTCACAGCATGTGAAGCAAGACACCTGATTCAGAAAAGCAAGGAGCACGCACAGCTGCAAGTGTATTGGATTATAACTTGCACTTTGAATGTTAAGTGCTATGAAATTGGCCATTGCTCTGCAAAATCAGGATCTGGATATCTCAAGCCAGACAGCCCAAGTTAATTTTGGCCTTAATTACTGTGCTGTGGTTCCCCAGCTGTAAAATGGAGATAACGCAACACCCCTTTTCAGATCAGGTGATGGTAGGGAGAGATGCATTAGTGTTACGCAGTCAGAAACTCTGACTATGACAGGATTACCAGAGAACATACTAGAAGGAAATCAATTTTAAACTCAGTGAGGGGTTTGGATACTGTATGGTAAATAAGGCCTAGGATTTTTCACTTAACGAGAAAAGAAAGGAGTCCTGAGAGAAACAGGGGTCTGTGCTAAACATATAGCTTGCCTCTCTCCAGTGATAGAGCCCCTTATAGTAGTATTCTATTGATAGGGAAGTCGTCCCAATTCCAGGATGTTACTTTTAGTTTAAGAGAAAAAAAATATGGCCTAATAACGGTAGCACAGTTGAGAACTACTGCTTTGTAAAATCTCTGTTCTTATAGGGCTGCCTTCCTATTGCTCTGGGCAAGATATCTACTTCTGCCTCAGTTTTCCCCTCTGTAAAGAGGCTAAAATAATTACATTGTTAAAGTAGACTTTCTATTATAAAGCTAATCTTCAGAACACTTTAAAAGACAATGTCTTTAATAGTGTCAAAAGATCACTGTTCCTTCCTCAAGATTAATCTGGCATAACTCTGGTTTGGTTACTATCTTCACATTTTTTTCTCTAAGAGTACGCC